AGCGCTTCACTAAATTGACTGCAGTGACGGTATTGAACCACCGAGCGGCGCTGTTGCTGCGCTTCACGGTCGCGGCTGCAGTGACGATATATAGCCGCCGGGCGGCGCTGTTGCTGCGCTTCATCATCAACGTTTTTCTAAATGGCACCGTTTCTATTTCAAAATGGCTGATATTGTTGTAAAGCAACAGAACAACCAGCAAAAACATTTGTTTAAATCAACTAAACACATTGAGATGTAAGTGAACAGGGTTCATCCCTGAGGGCCATCAAGTGTTTGAGGCGCCTGGTTGGGTGTGAATGTATTTGAGTGCGTGTGGGACTGTGTGGAAGTGATTGTGTGTGAGTTTGTGTGGGCCTGGGTGGACATGAGTGTGAGTGAGTGTGCGAATGTCTGGGTGTATGAGTGCAAATGTGGATTTGGGTGGATTGAGCGTGTGGGCAGTTTGTGAATGAGTGTATTTGTTTACAATGTAGAAGCGTAGCTAAGCGAGTGTTCAAGTGAATATGTAACCGTATCCAAATCTTTTCTGTGGAACAAGTATCATTGTTACAGGAATTTTACCAAAAAAAGGGCATAGTTTACATCTGAAATGTTGCTTCATGCAGAATGCGATGCTTTTCAGTGATAGAGAAAATATCCTGCAAGGGAAAAGGTGCAGCTCTGCTGTGCAATTATAAACCAAACCGCAAATAAAATTCGTTTTGAGATTGGATTGTATCCAGTGATGTTGAATTAGTTGGGACTTTATTGTCAACTTATATTTTCGGGGGTTGTGTGTGGGTGGTGGAGTCGTAGGGGTGTGGGGTGGACGTGCTGGTCTGCCCGGTGTATGACACATGTGGAAACATATCACCACGCTAAATAGTAACCACCAAAATGTCTGCAGTAATAACTTTATATTAGCTTTGCTTCCAAAAACAAATGGATCAGTCCTAACGCTGGAAAATATCTGTGTAATTAATTTTAATTCAATCCGAAGTACCTGATACATCAATAAAACAATGATCTTTATTTGATTTAATTGTTGAAAACTGACAATGCAATGGCAAGAAGTTGTGTGTACAAAAGCATAAGCAAGATGGTATTGAGAGACCCTCAGTGACATGGATTCACGGTGTCCATCAGAACAAGTGCAAGGTTTACAAAACTCGGTTTACCGCTGGATTTATTTACGGTTCTGGTCCGAGTCTTCAGTGGGAACATTTCGTGGACGACCACACATGAGTATGAGGGTCTTCTGTTCCATTCGTCGGCTGTATTGTGTTAGATTCAGGTGGTGACAGTTGAATGTCCTGTGGTCATGTTGTATTCATGAGACACAGGCTGACAGACAGAGGCAGGTGATATAAATATATAAAACAAACAGTGTTGGTGTCTGTGGGTCTGTTTCCAGCCCCTGCGGTCACCGACTTGTTAGCTATAAATAAATTAAATTAACTAATGATACAAATAGAGACATTGTTCACTTCCGAGATCCAAATCCTCAACTAATATTAAACACTTGTAGATTATAAAACTTTACTTTAAGATTTCGCGGAAGCGTATAATAATCTTAAATTTACTTTAAATTTGGATTCCGGTTCTTCTTAAGACGATTGACGTCAATTGATGTTTCGACCTCTGGAAAGATATTTATGAAACAAACCTTCACATTGCTCTTTCCTATCCCTCGATCTGAAGGTTAAACTTGAACCGAACTCCCAGCCGCTCTCCCCACAGTGAGATATCCCCGTTCAGCAATTTGCAATTACACTGTTCAATGCCGTTTACTCAGGTCTCAAACACAGAAACAGCATGAACCCTCGCATCTCAAAAACACATTGTTTCCATCCAATTACCCACAGGTCGCTCCATGTTCACTTTCCCTCAGCCTGAAGCTGTCAGTAACCGCACAGCAGCTCACCCGCTCTCCATCCACATCACACACGATGCATTGTACATTGTGCAATGTAAATCACGGTCACAATTACCCGCAACTCAAACAGTTACACAGAATAACTATTTCATGTATTTACAGTCGAATCAGAAACTGATTCCTTTCACCATCATCTCTGCTGAGTATGGAGATCGAGCTGGTCAGTTCTGATATCATTAGCTTGGTGTCCGTGACCAGTTTCGCTGTGTGTTAACCGTCTCTTAAACAAATGTATCTGATACATTGCAGCGGGTTATTCAGAGTTTACCATTTGTTTACTGAAAAACAACAAATTTAGCAATTTTTCTGCTGATCAGTTAATGTAAAACAGGAAATTCATCTTTATAGATCAACAGTTACACAGAATAACTAAAGCATGTGATTACAGTAAAATGAGAGATTTCTTCCTTTCACCCTCATTTCTGACATCTCTGAAGTTTTAGATAATCAACTACGATATCATTAGTTTGATGTCAGTGACCAGTTTCGCTTTGTGTTAAACATGTCATTAATAATTGGATCTCTAACAATGCAGTCTGCTATTCAAACTTGAACATATGTTTGATGAATACATCTGTGTTTTTCTACAAGATAGTTAGTGTAAAGCAGAAAGCTGATGATTGTAGATCAACACCGATCTGTGTACACTCTGAGGAATGGAAGTAAGTTTAACTCAACCGCCGGCAATATCAATTGAAATGAAGCATAGAATCAAACAGTAGCTGAATGTTAGCGTGACTGGTGTATGGGCAGCTGAGGAAAAGTAACTGTGAGCAACACGTTAATGCTAATATTACTTGAAATAAAAACATTCACTCATATTTCTGTAACATTCGTGCAGATTTGAGTTGTCAGTCACACCGCAGCAATGTAAACCCGCTTTACTCTCTCACTCAACTTCTCCCAGATGAACATCTTTAACCCACAGCAGCGTTCCTTATATTAAACAACAGATTGAAATACATATCGGAATCGATCTGATAACCTTCCCGTCACTCATCCCACGATATTCAGGTCCTCATTTCCAAATCTTGGGCACAGTTTCAAACACTTTTATACAATTCGCGGCATCATTATACCCGAAACCCAGCAGCTGCCATTCACCGCGAACAAACATTATGGAAAGTCCTTTAGTGTAATCACCAAAAATATCACCAACAATAAACTAAACATTGAGAGAATAGTACATAAAGAAACAGTTGTTATTGAAAGCAATGGCAGCTAAAAATCTTTAGCGTGGATTAAACTGTGAGATATCCCGTCCACGCAGAATTCATTACATTAAATAGGTGTTAAAGTGAACACATACAAAGAGACAAGTTCAGTGAATTGAGTGAGATGAGATAGTGTCTGCTACTCACCATCCGTCACAGTCAACACGGTGCCTTGACCCATGTAGTCACTGTGCTACAGTCAGTGTGCTGCCCACTGCAACAACCTGCTGTGCGGGCAGTGCACACAAACACAACATTACTGTAAATGTTGGCTCTCCCAAACCAAATACAATACCCAATATATTTCTGTAACGTTCTGAAAACAATTGCTTGGCTCTGTGTTTACCTGTTAAATGATTGCATCTTTGCCAGTTTGCAGTGATCATGTCAAACATTCTATTGTCACCAACAGATTGGAGATCAAATGTAATGTTTTATTTCTATTAAATCTGGAAATTTGCTCAGCGCTCGGCACCATTTTACGAATACCAAATTCCCGCATATTCAGTTGGACCCCCACAAGCGAACAGAGAGAGAGATTAGCTGCTTTGGTGTTGGAGGGTTTTTGTATTGACAGTTAATGCCGTGGTGTTTATCTCACTGTGCTGCAGTCAGTGTGCTGCCCACTGCAACAACCTGCTGTGAGGACAAGGCACACAAATAAAATATTAGCAAATGTTGGTTTCCCCAAACCAAATAAAGTGCACAATATATTTCTGTAGTTTTCTGAAAACAATTGCTTGGCTCTTTGTTTAACTGTTCAATGATTTGTATTTTTGCCAGTTTGCAGTGCTCATCTCAAACACATGTTGTTGTCAAGAACAGATTGAAGAACAAATATGATATTTTATGTCTGTTAAAGTGGTAAAATCCTTAGCGATCGACACCGATTTACAAATGCAAGTTCCTCACGTACTCAGTGGGACCCACACAAGCGAGCAGTGAAAGAGATTAGCTGGTTTGGTGTTCAGGGGTTTTTGTATTGACTGTTAATGCTGTGCGTTGCTTGTCACAGTGATACACAATATGACAAAATCTCCTGCACAGGACGAACGAACAAATATTGACCCGGAATTTCTGGCAACGGCTGGTCCTTTGTTCACAGTATCCTTTGATGACTCCTGTGATATTTCAGTCAGAATAAATTCTTGTGTTTTTCAGACACTTTCGTTTAATGTCCGAACATATCCCCAGACGTCAATCTCGTTGAGTACCATCCTGCAATCCAAATTAACCGCAATACATCTGCTAAACACCAGGTTATTTCTGAGAATTATCCATTTTCAGGGCCATTTATTTTGGTGCTGTGGATGTTGTATGATGACGGGATTCAGCAGTCTCTGTGGCAGGGGATTTTGTATGAGGAGATGGTTGTATGCAGCATTGTGTCTTTTCTTTACCCAGTGATACAGTCCAATACAAATACTGATCCTCAATATCAGCACAATATCGGCTGCCGAAATTCACTGAAAGTGACTATTCTCCTCTGACGTGACGCAAAATCTGTCTCGTAGTTTCCTCATATCCAAAGAAACAGAATGGAATTATTTCCAACAGCTTGTGACTTGCTGATGTTTTTGAACCGTCATTTAGTCTGTCTCCAATTGCAGTTCTTCCCGCCTCAACAGCACAGTGTCACTGACCGTCTGATATCACAGAATATTACAGCACAGATAAGCAGTTCATTCACCTAAATCAAACAGCGATTCAATATGCGGGTACTGTCTGATAATAAATGTATCTTCAGCTTTTCCTAAAACTTGGGCACAAAACAGCATTGACACCATGTTTGCCCCTCAGTCAGTTTAGGGTGGGAGGGGCTGCCTTTCTCCCTTTGTGTATTTGTAGGAGTTCAGCCCCGTTTCCTCTCACTGTGTCTTAATTTCACAGTAATAGGTGGAGGTGTCGTGCACTGTCGGGCATTTGATGATCAGATCGAAGATGCTTTGGGAATCTTCTCTGATGACAGTGACACGGTTTTCAAACCCGGACCCGAATGACTTGATGGATGAGCCTTCATACTGGAGCAGATTTTCCTGCTGCTTCCCGGGAAGCTGCCGGTACCAGGACATGTGTGTTATGTTGAGAATAAACCCGCTGGATTCACAGGTCAGTCTCAGGGCCTGGCCGGTTTTCCCGGTTAGATACGGCGGCTGTTTCAGAACCAAATCTGCCTGGACACCTGTCAAGGATAAACGGTCAAAGATTAATGAGTGTGTAATCTCCTGTCTCTGAGAATTTGCAGAGAGAATAACACCGACACAGGAACAGTGAGACTGTCAGAATAATAGCACTCACGGGAGAAGACAGCCAGCAACACACTGAGAGAAATCAGGGTCCTCATGTTTCTGGGCACTTGTCAGAACTGAGACTTGAGCCGAATAACCGAGGGACAGAGAGCTGCCGGACAGATGGCTTCAGTCCACAGTGACCGATATATAACAAGGTCCAGTGGGGCATGTGTTTGAGAATCTACCAATAGCTCCAGGACTGAGGGGAGTCACGTGTCACATTCCCTCTGACTTATACAGATCAAAAAATTTACCTTTGTGTTGAAAGGTACAATATTTCAGGTAGTGTGTGATAAATATGTGGAAAAGTGTCCCTGGGATGATGGTGAAAGCAGAAAGTTTTGCTCTATTAAAAGCAAGTTAGTTGGATTACTTTTAGGAAATAATATCTGGGAATGTAATATTTTATTTGGAATATTACACGTCATTCCATTGCCTGGATGTTGGAGGCATAGAGTCGACAGTCATTGGCCCTCTTTCGTCTATCAATGCCTATGTATTTAATATAAAAATTACAATGGATACAATGCCGTATCAGGACAATAAAATGGATCAATGCGCTTCACAGCATCACACAGCACTTCAGAACAGTATGTTGTGGCCGAAAATGTAGATTGTATCCTCTCGTTGTGCAATCCAGAACAAGGAGCAACATCTGAATTAGACCGAGGCTATTTAGGAGTCAATGGACAAATGGTGGTGGAAATCTGGAACTCTGCCCCAAAGGGATGTGAGTAGTGGATCCATTTCATTTTTTCGGGACTGAGATGGATGAGATGGATAGATATTTGAAAAAAGCACATCAAAGAATATGTGGCAAAGGCGGTTATTTGGACTTCAGGTATAGATCTGCTTTGTTGTTAAAGAATAAGAACAGTCTCGAGGTCCTGAATTGCCTACCGAAACGTATATGTTCTCATGTAAAATATTGAGTATTTTCTATATTTGAAGAGGTTCTGAACTGCAGCAGATGATTGTCGCTTATTTTTATGTCTTCTCATGTCCCTTTTGTACACGATGACATAAATGGCATTGTTTTCTCCACCGCCGTTTTTCTGGGTATATGTTTATAAAACCCTGTTATGTTCCTTGCCATTTTAGTAACTGCTTCTGTTTTGTTCCTTGTGAGTATGTTTTTTATCTTACACCTACTATTTGCTCTCGATTTCCTCACATAGAGTGATCGTCCTTGGGCAACTCCTCAAAATATTTATCTTTGGTCGCATGGAAAATATGTAGAAACTCAGCATTTGGGACACATCTGGTCGAATTCGTCACTACTTTCAGTCCCCATATTTATTGAAATCATAACCTTGATTGGAGATGAAATAGTGTAGTGATTGTGAATCTTTTCATTGGTGGCTAACGCTTTCAAGTCGGGCGTGAATTGATCACTTGTGGTGAGAAGCCACATGGAGACGGCTGCTGCTGTAATGGTAACCAAGTGAAATATGAGGACTGTCACACTCCTAAAGGACAAGCAGAGAAGAAACTGAGGGGAAAAGTGAAAATAAATAAATGCGACGTGAAATTTGGATTAGATGTAATACCAGTGACGCATTCCTCTAACTCGGAGTAAGTAGGAACACGGTTTTTATTTGATTGACGGATCACTCTAATCTGGCTCTGAATCCTTTCAAAAAACATTGATAATTTGGTCAAAGAATCCACAAGTGTTTGGTGGACATTGCAACGCACAATTGGCTGCAGCGTTTCACCCACAAAATATACAGTCTGATCACCTTAGAGTTTTTTTATATGAAGCACTTTGAGATAGGGTTATGCCAACTACAAGGATTATGAACTCCTGAATACCTGCAGGTGACAATAACGAGGAGGAGTGTATAAAATGGACTCTCATCAGACACAATATGTTGTTCTCCTTGACTGTTTGATGTTCATGTTCCAATTAACACATGAATTGTAACTCAGAAACTACATCAGTGGTGTAATGAAGCAGAGATAAACAGACTCATTATCCTGAAAATAATCATATAGCCTTACACTCAACTTGTGATATGGCCTGTTATTCCCCGGAGAGATAAGCCGGTTTCAACACATCAGTAATCTTAGATAAAAAGTAAATTAATGCCTTTATTTAGCAACCCACATGAATGGTGGCAAGTCCTATGTCTCGCTATATTGTTATATTGATTTGGAATTCATTTTCTTACCCACAATTGAAGACACCGAGTTCACAGAAAAAGATTGTTTGCAGATTTTATAGAACAGCTTAAGCTGAAAAGCAGTTTATGTACAAAATGCTAAACAAGTTGCTTATTTTCATGGTAAAGCCTTTTTCCTCGGCTAACTGTGGAAACCGGCTTGACAGGAAGACTTAGGCTAACTTCAGGTGGGAAGGAAACTCAGTGCACAATAGTCAGGAAGCAGCTGTCATTGCGTGCAGTCAGTCAGTGATTATCTTCCGGCCCTCACACCCGGAGCCCACAGCCTGACCTTTCGTATGTCATTTGCCTTCACACCTGCCACAGCAGCAACAACAGCAGCTGCAGCTGGTCATCTCAAGCTGCTAAGTCATCGCAATCCGTCAGTTCATGTCCAGCAGTCTGGTCATCTCAAGCTGTCAGGTTATCCCTAAATGTCATTTCATCTGAAGCTGTTTGGTCATCTCAAGCTGTCTGTTCATCTCAGTCTGTCTGGTCATCTCAATCTGTCCGGTCATCTCAAACTGTCAGGTCATCTCAAACTGTCTGCTCATCTCAAGCTGCGTTGTGGATCGATTTCGGAAAATATAATAAACAACAGTTAGCAGCCACTAAGCACCAGTCACCGAAACTAAACACCACCAACAGCCACTAACCACAGTCATAGTCACTGAGCAGGAGCCACGCCACTAAAACCAGCCTCAGCCACTAAACGGCGGCCACAGCCACTAAACGCCGGCCACAAGGGCTGAACACCAGCCATTAAACACGAACCAGAACTACTCGACAGGAGCCACTAAACACCAGCCATTAAACACCGCCCACAACCAGTATACACCAGGCACAGCGACTCAGACAAGCTC